CAGGGCGGCGGCTTCGGGCAACGCAGCTTCCACCGGGCTTAAAAAACAGAACCAGTGTTCGTCCTTACAAAATAAAAGCTGTGTAAACTCAACGTAACCAGAAAAATCATTTAAATAAAGGCTCAGGCGCTTTTAACGCTCGCTGCTCTCTTTCAGTGTAAACCTAACTCTGGGGTAGGGCTCGCGGGGGTGGGGGGGGAAGCTCCAGTTAATTAGCTCCGGTTAATGTTTTGAATACGGCAACATTTGCTTTTTGTCACTCTTCAAACGCTCCCCAGCCAACCCTGCTCTTCCATAAAACAGCACTCAAAACACTGTCGGCAGATACTTGGTCGCAGAAGATAACTCTCACGCAGCCGTTCTTGGGAGACTGGAGTCTCAAATAGCATTTTCGTGTTCACGTCTGAAGATTTTAAAGAAAGTAAATCTCCTTGGTAAATTAGCAGCAGCAATGCTCTGTCGAGTTTATTGCACTACATCTGGCAATGCCTACACACTGAAAGTGATTAAATCTAACTGACTGCCTTATGTGTGACATTTTCTCAATCAGCTTTTTATAACACGGTTAATTGGGCATTAGAGACGCAAAATAATGGGAAACCCTTTTCTTCATTCTAACAACAAGAAGCTGGGTCTCTAGATCAGAGAGAATAAAGAGGAATATTGGTGGCTCACGCAAAAAAAAAATGCTATTCTGCCCAAAAGCAGAAAAAAAACGAAATCTATTCCAAGTTCAAGAACTTAACATGCATGTGCTCAAAATGCAGTAAAAACTACCATTAAATCCTTACCTTAAAAATACTCATATCAAGCTGCCTGCAGATACCAAGTAATAGCTCTGTTCCTCATCAGCTTAACACAAATCCATGTAAAATCACGCTCACGTGCAATCTTAAATGGTAACGATGAAATAGCACTGTAAGACTATTAGGAACTGTTCTTCCACCCAAAAATAAACTGAGGTCTTCAAAACATTTTTTTTTTCCAAGTCTTCATTTATTGTACTGCTGTAAAAATGCAAAATTCACTTTTAACTCCTGAATTACGTATGTCTAGATCTTGTGGCTGAGGAGGTAATGAACGTGAACATTGGTAAATACAAACGCAGCACATGCCACAAGAATTTTCCACTTTGTGATTAAATGCAATGTTCTCTTTCTTTTTTTTTCCCCCCCCTTTATTTTCCTCCCTCTGCTTCCCGATCATTTATCTCAAATGACACTGGATGCTGCTTTGCTCTGCTGTACTAAGAAGTAGGGGATAGAAGAAGACTTGGAGCGAGCACAAACGCTGCAGCAGGTCAGCTGAGATGAGCCATAAGGTAAGCTGGCCACGGGGGCTACCTGCAAAGTACCACAACCAGCACTGCCCCAGGCAGCGAGCAAGCGTGCCGATTCCACCTGAACAACCTCCCCCCTTCCCCTCTGACCACGTCAAGAAGCCTGGTTATCTGAACAACACACCTGGTCAGGGCTGTGCAAATAGGATTGGCTCGGAATAAAGGGTGTTTTGTGGTTACGGAGAAAGTTTTCCAGCAACGTGGAATTTCTTGGCTCTGCAGCAAAGCCTGGTGATTTCCACAGTAGAACACGAGCTCTTTTTCCCAACTTGCAAACAAAATTTCAGATGCTATCTCATTTTATGCAATGACCTCTTAATAATATCGATGAGACCTTTGTGAAATAACAGTAGCAGCCTACTGCCTTCAGGGAACAAGAGACCAGAAGCTTCTAAAGGCATGTTAAGATCTTCACTTTTTATCTCTCATTCTGTAAGTAGTGTAATTCTCTTTCAAGCAGCTGTAGGATACCTGCGTAAAGGAGAGGTCACTATCACTAGAGGAAGATGAAGCCCTGATTCAAACAGAAGAGGGGTGAGATGGAGCACTTTATAGCAGCTATTGCATCAGGTGGCTTTCAGTTCCGTATGCAAGAGTCCATGTTTCTATCTAGTAAATAGAAGGCCGAAATATGCGGGAGTAGAGGGAGTATGCCATGCAACACACGCACAGTTGTCCAAAACATCCAAGATTGCATGTTGTTAGGCAGCAACTTTAAGTGTACCGTACAGTCTGTAAGTGCAACTGCACCTGCTTCAAGGACACGCTGGGATCATCACGCCACTCACTACTGTTTTAAGGTGCACAGGTAGCAGCCATTCCTCTCAGACTTCAAGATGTCAAACAGCACCCCCCCAAAAGCTACAGTACTGAGAGCGCTACATATGGACCGCATTGGGCAATGCCAATTAGAGGAGAGAAAAAGAAGTCAATGTTCTCTTAATTTGTTCCTTGATAACTTACATGCAAATATCACAGGACTTCCTGCACCATACATTCTCCTCAGAGAACAAACCAAATTCGAGTCTCCTTACGTGGATGGGATCTACTATTACAAAAAGAAGGAAAATCCCAGGGCTATTTCTGCAAGGATATTTCTGCTTTGCTAATCAAAAAAGCGTGCTTTACAGTTTTGGATTTACAGAGAGATGCAGCAAGACACATTTTTCAGTAGTGACAGAAACGTCTAAATACTTACGTACTAAGAGTAGTTTAACGTGGTCATTGTGAATCAAGGGAAATTTGGTAGATGTAGGTCCCTAAACTGATGTTAAAAATGTAGCCACTAGCCAACTAGTAGAATACTGTTAAACAAGAGACAGTTGAGATGTCAGAACTTAATTTAAATATTTACAACATACTAGCACCATCATAATGGGAAAAAAAAAAAAAAGAAGTAGGCATTGTTAAGAGTTATAAGATAATTTTGTGTTGTAAGGACTTGCCTAACACAACTCTAATAAAGTACTCTCTTAAGCGTGTACATTGCCAAACTGTAGGTGGTCATCTGAAACTTGTAAGCTACAGAGAAAAAAAAATAATTACAAAGAATGTATTAATAAACCAAATGCAAAATCACTTCATTATAAACTATTATTGCTATATTCATTTCAAATAATACAAAATTATTAATTATATACAAAAAAGCCTCCCCAGAATTTTGGTAATTAGCAGAACATTTCAGTTTCTTTAATTGCTTCCATTAGAGTCATTTGTTCATTTTATTAACACCAGATGCAATAACACAATGCTAAAAATAAACATGCATTATACAACAAATTTATATTTCTCAAAAAATGTTCATTACAATTATTGAA